CCGGCCGGGGACGTGCCTGGCTCACCAGGGAGCCCCGGACTCCGCATCGCTGCCCTCGCCCCGGCCGGGGACGTGCCTGGCTCACCAGGGAGCCCCGGACTCCGCATCGCTGCCCTCGCCCCAGCCGGGGACGTGCCTGGCTCACCGGGGAGCCCCGGACTCGTAGCGATCGGGCTTTTCCGCATCTTTATTGCCCTACAGAGTGGTAGGTGGCAGGTTACACAGGGTTGGCGCTATGCGAGCAAGGGTCTGTAATGGAGCACGCTGCTGTGTTGTATAGCATCATGTTTCATCAAAAGATCCTTTTGTGCCACATCCTTATTTCAGTTCACTCAGCTCTTGGTGTTAGTCTTAAAGTATCCTGCCGTGCACGCACTGTTTGATAGGCCAGTTATTTTATTTTAAAATAAAAATGCATGGAAGGATTCATTTTATTTATAAAACTCTTTTTCCCTAGAAAGCATTTGTACTTAAAACCGCTGCCTGGAGAACGGGAATTACCTGGAGGTTGGTTGGTTGCTGTAGATCTCCTCGTACACCCCGGACCGCTGCCAGCCGGAAGCGCCGCGGCTGCTGTCTCACCTGCCCTGCCCTGTCTGAGGCCACGCTTGTAACAGTGCGCTGGCTTCAGCAACAAAGCTAATTTATTTCCATCTGTCCTCTCACTTCCCTGAGCACTTCATGCCTTCAGCGCGCTGGCAGGGTTTTATGGGGCCATGTTCTAAGCCAGAGAGAACTGATGTGTGTATTTTTTAACAGGAACATGTTTTTCTTTCTTTGTATTTCAGATCCATTCCCTAAATACCGAGATAGGGGTGTTGGGAAGGCGAGGCACAGGGATGGGAGTACGCACGGGTGATGCTGGTTGTGAAGCGGGGGGGGACACACTCACTGAACCCCAGCTTTGGTGTGAAACACTGTCCTCAGGCCCCCAGAAAGCATGAGTAGTTCAGTACTCCCTGGGGACGTGCGGATCAGTGTGTTAAATGCCAACGTCACGGGGAACTCCCAGCGCCAAAGGCACCTCAGCGTCACTTGTGTTTGGCTCCCACCACGAGGGTGTTGCGAACGGTGGATCTGCCCCTCACCTCTGCACGTCGAGTGTTGCTTTGGAGCCCAGGCCCAGAGGACTGGTCTCCTGAGGACAAGTTTTACAGACCTTTGTACTCTATCGATGATGTTGACTCTGACAAAACATATCCTGGTAGCTGGGGCGTCCCCTCCAACCTCAGCTGCTCCCTGGCCCATCCCTGTCTTTGCCCCATCTACCCAGCTCCTCCTGGTACCGCCCTCTCTCCTCTGCTGCTCTCAGGATCTGTTTCATGCAGGTAGGATCTTGAGACGGAGAACTGCTGTACAACTGGCTCTCCAGTTCAGAGTCGCTTAGCAGAGGCCTGAGGAGCACCAGGAACGTGTTCGTGGGTCTGATCTCCCCTGTGAGATGCTCTGATGACAATGAAACAAGCGGCTGTTCCTTTTCTCTTTAGAAAGCGGGTGGGAACTGCGAGGAAGTTTCCTGTAGGTGACGACGGTTGTCCCTTCACGCTGCTGCCAGCTCGTCCTGGCTGTCATGGAACGGGTGTGGGAGAACCGGCGACCTGGTCCGGCAGGATCCATAAGCTGACACAGATTTAGCCCACGCTGGGGCTTAGCCCCTGATGCGCGGTGCGACCTGCTCCCTACCAGCCTCTGTTCAGGTGGCACCTGGCTCCAGCCCTGGCTCGATGCCCCCAGTGACTCCAGATGGCCCGTCCTGGGCTGGCGCCAGGGTCCGGTTCTGGAAGTACAGGATGGGAGCACCCATTTTGCTTGGTCCTTGCACACCCTTAAGTGGCGCTGGGCCCCAAGGATGGGAGCACCCATTTTGCTTGGTCCTGCACCCTTAAGTGGCGCTGGGCCCCGAGCACTGGGACCTGCCTTACAGGAGCTCCTCCGCTCCTGCTTCACCTTGTGATCTGGTTTGCCAGGGCTCGGTGTCACCCAGGGGCAGCCATAATGTCCCCAGATGCTCCTCTGGTCTGTCCGCTTGGAGCCAGCTGTTTGCTCACAGGGGCCAAGCTATGGCAAACCAAGGACACGTCGTCTGGGAGGAAGGCAGTCGGCCGCTCCTGGTCCGTTTCCACCTCACACCAGTGTGAGTTCATCAGGCAGTCGGCCGCTCCTGGTCCGTTTCCATCTCACACCAGTGTGAGTTCATACCCACTCTCGGTGTCCCCGTGCTGCGGTTCTGCCCACAACGCGCCCGGTCGCTCCGAGTTAGCACAGGCCACGGATGTTGCACCGCCTGCAGCCACAAATACTGCGTCTGGTGTCTGTCTGGCGTCAGCCACCACAGAGTCACTGGCGTGGGTCCGGGCAGGGTGAGGGCTGGGGTAAGGGGCAATGGGGGTGAGAGCAGGGGAGCAAGGCTGGGGCAGTGTGGGAGAACAGCCAGTGTCTGCTGACTGGCATGAGGAACCGGAGCTGCAGAGGGTGGGGGATGCGGTCGGTGAAGGCGGAGAGGAGCAGGAAGAGCAGTAAAGCCTCTGAGTCAGGAGGGGACACTCACTGAGTTGCCCTGGGGACTCATCGGTGCCTTTGGACTCTACCGCAGCTCCCCAGCCACCTGGCTAATTAAACCGAAGAAGGGGCAAACCAAAAGAAAAAAAAAAGATCAAACAAATGAACACATCCTTCAGCCTCGCTGCAACGCTTTGCGGAGGAATGGGGCCGTTTCCGGCTGCTGAGCCCCGTCGGGGCTTGCCCGGGACCGTCAGCCCCAACCTAGCACACAGCATGTCACCGGGGGCGTGGCTGGGGGGCCAGAGGGGGGGGGGGGGGGGGATGATGCCACGTCCATCCGCGTGCCACCGAGCTCACCTGCAAGCGGCTTTTCCAGCATTTCGCAGCTGCCTTGAGGAAGAACTGGCAACTGGCGTTTCCCAGCTCTGCTCCTCCGAGGTAAGGCAAGCTCTCAGGTGCTCTTGGGAACGCAGGGGTGGCACGTTCCCGAACTGTGGCACTCGGGGTGCTGTCCTGATGGGGTTGTGGGGCTGCCTGCATGGCCGGGGCGGTGGGGATTGCCTGGCAGCCAGGACCAGCCGTATCCCTTCCCAGGACTCGCTCCTTGTGCAAAGGAGTCACCTGCTGTGCCCAGGGCCACCAAGTCCTGCAACAAAACTTCCTGGGGCGTTTGCCCTCGCACCCCGGCAGTGTGCAGTTCCAGCACACCAACCTGTGGCCAGGGCGACGTGGCCATGCAAAACTCCTCCTGGGAGCATCCCCCTCGGTGAAATCCTGCTGGACCCTCCGCCAGCTGACACCGCTTGAGGGGACAGACCCTGGCACCCGTCCCCTGCCCAGGGTGAGCCATGGGGTCCCTGGCACTCCCTGGGAGGGGGAGGGAGGCTCCTCAAGTCTTGGGCCAGCAGACTCTCTTACATGCCGGAATATGCTCTGGCAAAGATAAAAATCTCACCTCCGGGTTTATTTTTGGTGCTGCAGCAGGTGAGTTGGGTATTGCTGCCAGCTGGGCCTTTTCCAAACACAACTGCAGCTCCTCGGCTAAAAGCATGTGTTAGGGGAACACCCTGGCTCGCTCCCAGCCCAGAGGTTTGGCCCTGCAGACACGCTGGGGGAGCAGCGTGGCATCCCCATGCTGGTGCTGTGGACCTCGGTGGGTGCCGCAGCCTCGTGCCCCTCCGAACCCCCAGGGCCAGTGGGGAAGGAGCCTCCGCACAGCCCGGCCTGGCTGCTGAACCAGCATCACCCTGACGTAGGGACAGTACCAGCCCCGGCTGTCACTCCACTCTGTGTGTCCCAGCTCCAGCTGGGACAGGAGCAGCTCTTGGAGAGACATCTGAATTTGGGGATGGCTACGCTGGAGGGAGATGAAGCTGGTGCCATCATGTCCATATGGCATCTCCAGAGCAGAGCCCAGCCTGGGACAGCTCAGCTGGGCTTCATGCTTGAGGAGGACAAGGGTCCAGCATGACCTGAGCTACTACAGGGGCATGAGGGCTCCTAAAGGAGACAGGGGGGAATAGATGGTCCCAGGGACCTCCATCTCCACCTGCATCTTGACATGGGCAGCACCTGGTGACC